TCCGACCCTAGAAACTATGAAACTATGCACATCCAGTTTGCTTTTCTTTCACAATGGATCCTATCACATTTTATAATTTAAAAGTAATTCCTTGTAAGAATTTCTGCATGGTCCTCTCTGCTGTCTGTGTGCAGGCTCAACAAATGTAACTGTAAAACCGACTTTTGCAGTACTAAGGAATATCAGTATAGTTATTTAAAATTAAAGCTTTGCTTCAGACTAATAGAGCAGCACTTACAGACGTTAACTTTTTCTAGCTTTTGTGGTTACCACCTTTTATTTTAATGGGATCTTTCCTGGCAGGCTACTCAGATCCTTTCAAAGTCCTGCAGGTGAGTATGGGAGCTTGCTTGTATGTAAAACAGTTTGCTGGCAAAGCTACACAAATAACCCCCTTCCTTCCCACCCGCCTCCAAGCAATGCCGCTGACACCAGCAACATCGTGAGTATGTTGGGTGTGTGGTGGGAGGGGAGGGTATTCCCCCAAATTGATCTAACTATGCCAGCAAAGCTTTTAAGCATAGATTCTAGCACTTCCTGTTCTTTCTGCATAGTGATATAAGGCTCTTGGTCCCCTCCTCCCTGCCTTTTGCAGTGGTCCTTCTGTCTGGCTTGCTTTTTTCTGTTCTTAGCTTAATGCAGGAAATAATGTAAGAAATGAAACATCTGTTGTCTCCTGTTCTTGGAGGCTCTTACGGTTGAATTCAAATGTCATCTCAAGTAGTTCTTTGAAATTTAAGTGATTTCTATTGTGTCAGAATTCATGGAATACAGTTCTTAATTCCAGGCATTAATTGCATGTTTTGCATATAGCTTTCCTTTACATTCACAAACTGGGCTTGATATCATGTGTGTGTAAAAGGTAATGTCATATATAAGCACTCTTGTAGTTCCAGTATGTCACTCTTCAAAGAAATGTCACTGAAATTAACAGGAATGTAGTTGGTCTAATAAAAGGTATCATTTTGGAACCAAATGATAGTTTTTTGTATGACTGAAATTAATAGAAATGTTAGGACTTGTAGGAGCCTATGTCTTTTTTTTCCAACAGTCTGTGCTGTGCTAGAAAGACAGGCAGTGGTTCTGTTTTAAAGGATTTTTTTTTTTAAATTTGCAATAAGACAAAACGATGGAGAAAAGGAAATCACAGGACTGAGGAAAGTTGCTTGGGTGTGGGGGGACTATGCTCTCTTGTTTTGTACCTCATTCACCTTTGGGAGAAATGATATGTGGGAGCATGCTGGCTGTCGACAATAATTTAAAATGTGCTCTGGTTTACCATATTATTCACTTATTGTCTGTGGTCTTATTAACCACAGAAATGCTTTCTTGTTGCAGGGGACAGTAATCTTAATGTTTCAATGGAAGAGCTAGTGGGCTGGAGGGGAGCTTGATTATTTAGTATTTTTGGTCCCCATAGTATTTTCTCTTTCTCTCATAACCAACTTTTGCGTTTGTTTTTTTGCTGACTTTTTAAACTATTAATTATTTTCCCCTCTCCCTTTTCCCTCTTCCCTTTTGAACAGATGAATACTCAAGGCCAGCCGTAATTGGACATGCAGGGAATTTTGGATCATACCCAGATAGTACTGCAGCAATCAAAGACATTCTTGTGTCCGTTCTAAACGCATCTGGTTCTAAACCTTCTTCACTGCCAGAGGAAACAGTGTTGCAGAGAGCAGAGCATCCAGACAGCGATATGGAATGCTGCGAGGAGAGTAGTGATGGAGATTATAATGATGACAGTGATGTTGATTATACGCAGTGCAAAATCGCATGTACACAAACCGATATTAGGTTTACAAGGCACCGGGCATTTTGGGATAATACACAGTGCAGTTCTTCTAAGTCTTCGCTGGAGTTGTCATCGTGTTCATCTACTGGTAGAAGTCCCATCACTTCTTCTCAGAATAACTTAACCCATTTGGAACCGTCTCCTCCAAAATATGACTGCTTTACCCAGGTGACATTAGCTGGAGGCACTGTCACATCACTGATGAACTCTGTTACTTCATGTTCAGAAAAAGAACATACAAATTATTCAAGTCCAGTAGAGCAACCTTTGACTCGTATTACAATCTGTCCAGATTCAACTGCTAATAAGCTGTTGGAACCTACTGTCAGCTATGAGCCATTGGAGCCCAGGCCACTCAGGGATGAGACTAGCAAGACCTTCCGTAACTTTTCCCAACTGGAACCTTCTGAGCAGCAAGGTAACCCTCATGTAATCGCTTACAACGTGTTTCTTCTTTGAGACTTCTATAGCACTGATAGATAGAAATCTATAGCTGATGTGGTCTCACTGTAGTGATTATAAATGACTATGCAAATGTTCTCAGTTGGAATGAGGAACAAGAAAGAAGGAAGAATAACAAAACTAAGAATGGGTTTTCTAGGGCATCGAAACAATCAGTGGCACACTGAAAGCTGCCTTCATAGGTTTTTTCTTCTCTGGTTTTTTCTTGTTATGGGAATATTTAGCTTGGAATCATTAGTAGAAGGGAAGAATTCATGGGTCTCAAACAATACAGATACTCTAACCAGAAAGACTACTACCTGACTTTCATCTAGAGGTGCATTGATACATCAGTCACATATTGGATTGGCACCAATGAAAGGAAAATCTAACGTTATCAGCAATCAGCTTTCTTTGGCTGGTGTAGCCAGTATTGTGACCAATAAATGCCGTGTGCATGCATGTGGCCAGGAATGCAGCCTAGAAGCTAAAGAGAGGAGTCTCTTGCTGGTAAGTCTGGGGGCGGGAGGGCAG